ATCTGTGCCCAGGGCTTGCACGCTGTGCCTCAGGCATTGCACTGCCCTCCTGGCTTTCTTGTCCTCATGCTTCTTTCTGCATGAATCGAAGCAGGGCCCCGTAAATAGCAGGGTCTTATGACACAGCCTCTGCTGGGGAAGGAGCTCTGGGCGTCAGGGATATTTTTAGTGCTGAGAGGCAGGGGATTTGGAGAACGCTTGGAGGAGTGCAGGCGATGAAACCACAGCACAGACAGGTTACAAGGTGCCATGTCCTCTTTCTCTAGTGTCATTCCCCCCCCCCGCCCCCGGCTTTTCCCAGCAAGCAGCTCTGCCAAAACCACCGCCACCTTGCTTTTCCTCTCACCAGGTCTATGGTTATTTTTTGCCATGCTGCAACACAAGGTCAGACATGCCGGTTGAGAAAAGACTGTGCAGGGAATTCACGCTTAGGTGGCTGGCATGTCCAGGCATCCCATCTCTGCATGGCCTGACCCTGCACGATTCTCTGGGGCATTCCTAGCTCTCCACACCAGCTGCTTCTCCCAAGGCTAAAGGAGCCGAAAGCCCTTGGGATTTACCCTTGTCCCGCAGCAGTTTTGCTGGGGCAGGGTGATAGGGAAAGCCTTGCAACCTCTGCAAGGACTTCCTGGAAGATGCTGTGGCAGCTGAGGACCTGCATCTTCTGCCCACCCGATCTCCTCGCAGCACTGGACACAGGGACTGGGAGCACAAGGCACAGTCCAGGAAGCCAGGCAGTGGTGGGGTGCCCCAGGCCTCTCTAGAGGAGCAGGTCAGGGGACTGGGCTCTGGGAAAGTACAGGGAGAAGGGCAAAAGCTGGCTGGGCCAGCCTGCCCCAGCTCTTTCATTCACCAGGGAACCGGCCCATGCTTGGAGTGACCCTTTGCTTAACCTCTGCTCACCTCCCCATCACCTCCTGTCCCTTTCCACAGCCCAGATCATTCTTCAGGACCTTTAAAATCCCTCAAAATCTCTGCAAGGTATTGCACAGCTGTGGACTCAAGAAAAGGCCAGGCCCATCCTCTCTTGGCCTTGTGCCTCCACTAACAAGCCTTCTCCCACCCCCAAATACACTTCTCCTATTCACCGGTGCAGAGAGGGGGTTGTACCGGGATCCCATGGGCCAAGGAGGGATGAAAAACGCATCCCCTCCCAGCAGAAATGCAGCCAGACAATTGAACCATGCTCTGCTCCCAGCCCAGATGCTGGGTCGGAGAGCACCCTAGTCTGGTGCTGCCAGCACCCTCAAGCCCCATCTGGCCCTCACCCCATGCTAACTGCACCCCAGGAATTGCTCCTCTCCCAGCCTGCTTCGGCAAGGCTGTGGATGGGAGAACTCGCAGTGGTTTGCTTCGCAGCCAGCCCTCCTGTGCCTTTCCCCACCATGGCAGTGGCCATGAGCCTACACCATGCGAGGGCTGGC